CACAGCTTTCTATCGCCACAAAGCTTCCAATCACAACTTTCTATCGCCACCAAACTTCCATTCACAACTTTCTATCGAATTTATAGTCGAATACAAGATAGCTCTAAGTACAGGTGTGAACGTTACCTCGGGAACGGTAGCAAAACCTGGTCTCAATGGACATATAGCTGCTAAACCAGGATATTGAAATGGGTCTTGAACTACAAAGAATGAAATAAGCAAAGCTGGAAACATGTGTTCTTTACAGACGAGTCCGTGTTCGAATATTCCGTTGATAATTAATGAGAGCCACAGAGGAAAACGTTATCATAGTCCATGAAAGGAGAACACTATCATAGTCCAGCAAAGAAGATGGTATCTTAGTTCATGAAAGGAGAACACTATCATAGTCCAGCAAATAAGAACAGTATATTAGTCCAGGAAAGAAGAACACTATCACAGTCCAGCAAATAATGACATAATCATAGTTAAGGAGAGAACAACGGTATTGTAGTTCAGGAAAGGAGAACAGAATCATAGTCCAGTTAGGAGAACTTTGTTATATTCATTATACAACATGTTCAGAGAAGCGTGTTGGGGTATCAGTAGAAGTCTGAGGCTACATTTCATCCAACAGTGTCTGTCATCTACACGAAATTGATGGCACCCTGACTGTTAACATGTACAGACAAATCCTTGTTCTTCATTTCATTTCCTCAGGAAAATGAATGATCGAGCAGGGACTCAGCTTCTAGCAAGACAACTATACTAAACATACATAGAATGTGATGGAATGGCATTTTGCTGATAAAAAGGACAATAGATCACTGATAATACTAGATTGGCCTTCTCAAAGTCCTGATATGAATTATCATCCCCACCTACCCTGGGCCATTCCTACAGCAAAGATATGTTTGTTTAGCTAATGACTCCACAGTCTTGGACCAATTTCACAGGTTTTATTGTCTTGAAGTTTTTACGTGTTATACAGTAGTTTCTCTACGCTGAATCCGAAAATGATATCCATTTTGCTCCATCACGTATAGATTGTTTCACAAAACGTAAGTAAATCATTTTTATTGAAATCGAGTCACATTCTGTTATGTTTAAAATGTTGACAACCACTGGCTATAGGTTTCTCTAGACCAATCGCGACGTGAGAGTCTTATCGATGGTTCTAGAACCCACGAGAAACACACCGCTGGTATATAAACGGTTAACACTTTGACGTTGTTTTTTCTTTTCAATATTATTTATTCGTTGCTATGACAACAAGAGGTTGTGTAAATGACCCAAACATATTCTGTTATATTTATGGTAAATTTATTGAAAATAAACAAAGGACAAAATATTACAGTAATTAGTACAAAAAGCGTATTACGCGTTGTTTGGTAATAAACGTTGGGACCAAGATAAATCATGGCTCTGACACAATGTTGAGT